ATAATAAAATGATAATAATAATAATAATAATAAAGTATAAAATGATAAGCGTAATAAACATAATAAAATAAATAAATAATAACATAATAAACACAATAAAACATTGCATAATACAAGCTTCTTTGCATACGAACAAAGAAAATTAAGAAACGAAAAAAACGATATTTAGGTCCCATGACCAAAAAGTGCGAAAAGTGCGCGATTGCACATTTCGACACGGCAACACACACGACTATAGGAGACCCGAGAATGCCATGCACAATGTCTAACGGGTTCTATCTTGTTCTTTGTCTCTTTTCGTGCAATAAAAGCCACAAAATGAGGCAAATGAACAGGTTCTAACTTGTCACTTACGCAGTATTCTCGAGTGTCCCTGTCCTTGCAAATGGACAGCATTTCCCGTACGTAAACATACGCAAGAGCGTGAAAATACTCTCGTACTCGTACAGGTAAGTAATAAAGCCAGTTTTCCGGTTCTCGCGTGGCTACACGGCCGCGTAGAACGCGTTTTCTGCTTGCTTAGCATTCTTCGCGCGCTGCTTTTGCGCATGCATTGGCACTCGGACGGACGCTTATGTACACGAGCCACCCGATATGGCTGAGTCTCAATGGCTGCGAGCGAGCAGAAAAAAATGTCTTGGCTTGGCAGGGAATAAGAACGATAAGTGTGCTGGCTTGAATAGGGCTCAGAAAGAATTTTGATGAAAGTCTTAGGTTCGTCCTAAAGTCTCGCAGTAAAATTTTTATAATAAGTTGGTTTCGATACGGTTTAGACGAAGAAAAAATTCCAAGTCGCTAAAAATGCTGGAGGGCCCCAAAGATGCCTAATTGAATTTTTATTGATGATTTTAAAACCAACATTTTTTGAAGAAATTTAGAGGTTATTTGCAAGCTTTCCGTGATCACTTGCACCCAACACATATAAAAAGAAAGGTTTCGAGATTCTCTAACTCTTTGCTATTTTTCACCCTCGTTTTTGAGGTACTAGTGCCATCAATATGTCACGGGAGCATTGCAGAAGAAAAAAGTCTACGAGAGGAAAAGCAGCAGAAAAAAATCGAAAGCGGGAAAGTTTGAGTATGTTTACAGGTTTGCTTGCTTTTCATGTGTGCAATTGGGGTCATCGATCATGTCAGTAGCTGGACCTCGCTATTCCTCAGTTATGAACCGCATTTGAGATTTCAAGTTTCTACCTTTTTTGAAATTCAAAAAGGAATAGTAGACACTGTCCGCCAATTGATATTGAATGTATTAGGTTGTGTAATAAGTTCGTTCGCATTTTTTGTTTTGATTTTTTCTCAATATTTTGCAAAGCCTTTGGCATAGTGTTAGTATGCGTTCGGAAGCTCTAAGTTTGCTCTACCAAAATACTATCAGTATATTTTCAGTTTTTGAAAACTTGAATAAAAAATTCTACTACAAACCGAAAAATCTGAAGTGGCAAAAATCCCATTTTCGACATCTTTTTTCTTCCTTAGTTTTCCCGTTATTCTTTGTTGAAATTTATTCAAAAAGCTTGATAAGGAAGAAAAACAAATGACTAACAATTTACGCATTTACTGATACTATTTACGATTGCCCATTTCCATTCACCGATTGTTTAATGCACTTTTTTTGCAAAACTTGGCGTAGCAAGGCTTTGCCGCAGCGGTGTTCGTTGTCTCGCGTCCGTGGGCTAAGTGTCCCTCGAATTCTGAATTTTTGACTATATAAGCCATTTATTCGATGATTTAGCGATCATAGACCACATGTCTGCCAATTCCTGGATTTGGCTACCACCTTTCTTCAGAGGTGCCTTCAGATGCTTAACGTTGACAGCTGAAAGACATAAAAACATACCTATTTTTGAGCTTACAATATGAATTGTTTTTGGAAGGTTTTAGCACTACAGGTAATCTGCGGGAGCTATAGTATTCTATTTTACATGTCGCAAAATTTTTGAGCTGTTTCTCAAGCGCTCAAAACCATTCAAGGTGCGGCTTAACATAGTTGTCGAAAATGGGATTTTCGCCATTTCAAATTTTTCGGTTTGTAGTCAATTTTTTTATCCAACTTTTTATAAACTGTGAATATAATGATAGTGATTTGGTAGAGTAGACTTAGAGCTTCCGAATGCATACTAACACTATGCCAAATGTCTTGTAAAATACCGAGAAAAAATTGAAACCGAAAATGCGAACGAACTTATTACACAACCTAATATTAGACTGGCGGGCACTTAGCCAGAAGCTAGATTGGAATGCTATGGAACGATCGTTATGTGATGTACACCACTGATAAGCCATTATATTTCAAGAGCAAATAAGACTGAACAATATTGTCCTTCAAACATTGCACTTTAAGGTGCCTTGGTGCAACACCACCCACTCATCGTATTTTGTTGGGCCCTATAGACAGAAACTGCGGAATTTTCTTGGGCCCTATAGGCAGAAACTGCAGAAAAGTGGTGATACAACAATCTGGAATAGTATTTTGCGTAACGTTAAAAGCAAATGGTATCATATAGAGAAGAAGAAGCAATGAATGACTAGAACATATGGCTGGTTAAATCGCAGGCACCGCAGAAGAAAGTCGTTTGAAGGGCAATCTTTCGGCGTTTTTCTCATGGTTGCTATGCTATTTGCCAATCGGCGTCTGGGATACTATGAAACAAATAGCAAAAACGGTGAAACTGGAATGACCGAATAAATTTACTGCCTAGTATATACGTATAGAAGTTATGATACAAACAGTACACCAAACACATGACTAAAACTACGACTTTGTGCAAAATAAGCTTCAAAAAATGATATAATATGCTGAAGACCAAATTCTATAATCTGTTGCCAGTATATCAAAGTCGTGAATTTTGCCCTATGAAAAAAGACCATTATTTGATTAAATAAAAATCAAAATTTTCCGCAAGATCTCATATCTACAACACAATTGAGCCATAAAAAATTCAAAACGCCTAGCAAGCGTAAGCTCTGCTCTAACTGATAAACTGTATTCTTTGCAAAGATCAGTTTAGAATGAAAAATAGGGAAAATTTAACAAGATGAAAATACACATTGCGTATGTGTTGTGTCATACGTATTGCGAATTTGCAAATATTTGGGTTTTTGGTTACAAAAAAAACTGGAATTCCGAACATCTATGATAGGTAACTGAATAGAACTACTGTCCTCAGCACCCTCACTATTACAAAAGAATTTTTCTAGTTTAGATAAATTGATAAATCAAGAAGTTAGTAGGTGGATGACATATAAGGCAAAATTTTGAAGGTATGACTGAATTGATAGCTGAGAATTTTGATGTAATACAGCAGTGACTTACGTCAGAGGTAGCACAAAAAAACGACCACAAAATCAGAATTATCGGAAATCAATCCAATTGAATCACCAATTGCTGCATTCTTTCAAAGGACTTTCGAAAAACTTGCTCAACCCAAATTCAGTCAATATAAAGAGCCCTGCAGCTAGTCGAAATGTTCGAATTCAGGCCAGCCAGTTTGAAGTGGGCGTTGCGTGCTAATTCTGACAGCGCTCTGTCAAATTCGATGAGATCGTATCAGTTGCGCGCGTTCGCCCATTTCCTACGCCCCCGTGCCGCTCACACACGAGGTCACCGCGCTGCCCCGCGGGCTCGCACTCGATGATTTATGGACATTAGCCTGCACTTCAACATATGTTTTGCAATAGGTGTTTTTTCAACGCCGCGGCGCCATTACGCACGGTAAAAAACACTGTACACTGCGAAAAAGCTTATTTACAATCTGTTCCAGCCGGGAGTGAACCCAAAAGGGAGCGACGCGCGGCCGCTTCGCAATGGTCGCGTCTTCGCGCTGCGCAGCTCTACCAGGTCGCGGTAGGACCTATTGCACCGTTTCCGCTGGTACAGGCTTTATTATGAGGGGTAAAGTTCCAGTGGAGATACGCGACATAAACATTGATTACCCCAGAAGTTTTCATTTTTTTCATCCAGAAAGGTTGATGATGCTAAAATTCGCAAAACAGTGACTAGCAAAAGCTAGAAACACATTCAACGTAATCTTTCCAAGTAGTGACTTATAAATCACAAATTTTTAACAATTCCCCACTTAGGCCTCAAAAATTGTGTGTTATTTTCATTCTTGCTCAAGTTTCCTAATTCCTTTACTAGATTTTTGCAAATTAGTAGATAAACGAAATTAGTAGACAGAGAATACTTACGCGTTCGATGGTTCAAAGATTTTATGAATTTTTTCAAAAAATTTGGTAAACAAATTTTTCATCAGAAATCATAGCTTTACACGATGATAGAGTATATAGGTTCTAATAAATTTGAGAATTCGACGGCTCATGAAGATAAAAGAATTTAGTTCTTGTAAAATCGTTAAAAGGTATCACATACTGAATTTCTCTTAAGTCTTTTCAATCCTCGTAATATTTAGAATTATTTACTCAAAACCCATGTTTATTGGTATGAAAATTTGAAAAATTGCCAAGCCTAAACATCAAAAGCAAAAACACAAACAGTGGGACCAGAATGAGAGCAATATCGATTGCTCAACCCTAATTGGGCATTAATTCGTAGGATTTAGAGCTGTCAGGTTAAAAACGACGAAAAACATTCAGTGCGACCTAATATTTGCGAGAGCGAGAAAATGAAAAGGGGTCAGCGCAGAAATAGGAGTGCTCTTGAAACCATATTTTAAAGGTCACAGAGACTTCATAAATCTTTTCTAGTGGACAAAAGGCTGAGCTAAGTAAAATAGAGTTAAAAGAAGAGCTGGGAAATTTTGAGGAAAAAAAGGGAGAGACAATTTGAGCAACCATGCTGAATGAGAAGAGCTCAAAAAAGCAAAATTCATGGCTGATTCCCACTACGCGGGTGAATACCAGAACTTCCAGTTTTCAATCCCTTCGAAAGGCAAGAAAAAAAGTTTAAAGATGAGAAAAAGTCATGAAAACAAGCCAGATCTGGCAACATGGAATGCTGAGCATGCAAAACTATTTGTACACAATGAGACATTTGTTTGCCTACAAATCCGGCTGAATCATTTGACAAACTGAAAAAATATCAACAAAACGTACCTCTTCTAGTTCCTTAGGCTCCTGCTCTACAGGCTCAGTGTGTTCTTCTGGTGGTGGCAATGCTTCCAAGCCAAAATCTTCTAATCTTTCCTCAGTAGGTGTGCCGCCACTTGCGGCACAGTTTGCCACGACTTCTTCAGCAGATGAGAGTATTGATAATGATGGCAATGGTTCTTGTTGGTCTTCTTTGGGTTCAGAAGGCGTGAGTTGATAGGAGATGGACTGACGCAGTGAGTAGATGCACGATCCGGATGGGAGTAGGGAGGAGAGAAGGTTGATGCTGAAATAAGAAACGCTAATTCTTAATGGATTCGATGACTGAAAAAAAGTTGACAGAGCTAGGCAGAGCTGGCACATGGCCAAATGGATATTGTTTTTAAGATGAGAAGAGGAGGTAGATGTAAGTTGCAGGATCACCAACATATACTATTCTGTGACGGAAGCAAGCTGACTCCCCCCTAAAAAAGCCCCCTCCTTTCACTTTCCAACCGAGCACGTTGCAAAGTTTCTAAACTGGGCAAGGGGTTGACTGCATCTATTGATTTTTTCAAAAAATCAGTAAAAGCTTTACGCAAAAGGAGATTTGCCAAGAAAAGGCCCCCATTATTTCAACTATGATGCATATACCGCACAAGCATTCCATCGCAGCTGCTTCAAAATGCTTCAGAAAAAGTCTTTCTCAAAGACTTTATATCTTTAATCCTTATTTTAGTGGTATTCCGAAATATGAAGGCAAAATTCCAAAAAATTCATTTTTATTGAAGTTGTTAGCCCCCGACCTTTTCGTCATTCCGTAGCCACCTACTCAAGCAGTTTGAAAAATATATTGCGATTTTTTTTGTTCTCAAAATCGCCTACTTGTGAACATTCTAAAGATCCCAGTGAATTTGCAAAAAACCTTTTTTGAAGGGTTTATGAGCTTTCGACAATTTTTGATGATTTATCTGCGGCAGCGAAAAAATTCATCGCCTGGATTTTTTTTTTCACGCGAGTTAAGGGCTGCATTTTTTTAAGTTGGAAAACATCATGTTTATCTCATACTTAATAAAATTCTTTTATTTTTGAAAACGCATAAGCTTTGGTAATATTTTTTTAGATGGACTTTGAGCTGAATATTAGGTCGATGCAAAAGTTTCGTCAGTTTTTTCAATCCATCGGCAATCACGCTAGAATGAAGATAAACAAAGTCTTCAAAATGTATCCGATGCAGAATTTCTTCCTCTTTCCAGCTGCTAAGCTCCCATTGTGTTTCGTTGCGAGGGTGACGAGATATTTGCTGCAAATTACAACCACTCGTTTTTACCATGTTCAACTTTCGCTAATTTTCAAAATTTTTGTATGAGACTTTCGAAGGAGCACTTATAACCAGCAGATAGAACAAACCTTTTGCCAACAGAAGCAATTTTTTGTAGCCCTACAGCTTGTCTTTCAGAATTTCTACGATTTATTTTTTGAAGTGACCAAATTTTACCTTCAGCCTATTTTAACCTCGTAGAACTGAAATGTTGAACAATTCAGTCACCATTCGATGCAGATTTTTCTCCTCTTTCTAACACTTGTCTTTTTTATCGAGATAAGCAAAATTTGTGGAGAAGATCGCAGTATTTCTCAATTTCGGCGTGTGCGCACTGACGTAACCTATGTTTCAAAACCTTCATAATTTGAAGCGAAAATCGCTCATTCACTTTGTAATGGTAACGGTAGTAATAATCGAGTGCTGAAACCTTAGTATTCTGTAGGGTTTTGCAGTGTTTGGTGCAATAACAGGTTATGCGATTATCCCACAACACAAGACTTTTAGAAAATTATTTAGCAAAAATCTGAAAAAGAAGCTGAAAAAAAGGAAAAAATTGCTTCTGTTAGCAAAAGGTTTGCCCTATCTGCTGTTATTAGGGCTCCTTCGAAAGTCTCATACAAAAATTTTGAGAATTAGCGAAAGTTGGACATGGTAAAAACGAGTGGTTGTAATTTGCAGCAAATATTTCGTCACTCTCACAACGAAACACAATGGGAGCTTAGCAGCTGGAAAGAGGAAGAAATTCTGCATCGGATACATTTTGAAGACTTTGTTTATCTTCATTTTAGCGTGATTGCCCATGGATTGAAAAACTGGCAAAACTTTTGCACCGACCTAATAGTTTATAAATTGCACGATTTTCTTTCAAGGACTCTCATTTCCTTATCTTGAAAAGCATGGAAAAATTCTGGAACCGACAAACAACTCTATGCTCTGGCCTGAATTTGAGCAAGCGTTATCCGAAGTGCAATTTTTTGTGAGAATAGTCAACACAAGAAAATGAATGACAAGCGATTAAGAAATGTTAGGTTATCGCAAAAACTACGTCTCCTTACAGTATCCAAAATCAACATTTTTCAAACTTCTTTTAAAGGGTAAAACGTAAAATCTTGCAATATGGAAGAATTCTTTTTTCAAAGTGCAGCATGCCATCTAGTGCCAGGCAATGACAAACGGGCTAGACCAATGAAGAGGCCAATTCAAAAGATTACTTGAGTCAAATTCGGAAGAACTGGCGTTAAAGTGCCGTTATTTTTAGGTAACCACTGAAGGATGCATGAAAAAAACTTTTTATAGAAATAAACTTATAGACTAACACTATGTATAACTATTATGTACTATTATTAACTATTATAAACTGTGTTTATAAAAAGAGGAGAAATGTAAGCATAAGTCTGACATAAAATTGCTTCTACTTCATAGTCTTTTAAGTCTTTTATGAGTTCCAAAGTAAAAGAGCTGGTTTAAGCTTGGAGAACAGAATGAAGTACAGGTCACATTTGAGTATTGTAGATTACGGTAGGAAAGTACAGGGATTTTGCGCTGCTGGGAAGTGAGTCTTGTATAAAAACGACTGCTCGCTTGCAGCTTTACAATTGTAATCAGAGTCGCTAATTCCAATTACTGAAATAAAATTTCACAATATCTCTATTCCCTCCCTCAAAATGAAGAAAGTAAACGATATTCTATGCTTTCAACAACCCTTCAGATGCTAAAATGATAAATTCCTGCAGTAAACTTTTCCTGCCTCAAAAGGCAGGGGAAGTTTACTGCTGGTATCAAAATCAGAACGGATCATCGCAAAAATTTCCAGGTCATGAAGAAATGCTACTACATTATGGTACTTCATTATGGTAAAATTTTCAGCAAAGCTTTCCCTCTCGGAGTACTGCCGTAATCCTACAAAAATAAAGGACGATAATTGATTGTTTTTCTACTGTAAATGTAAGGCCAGCTCTTCAACATGATATCCGAAGGTCAGTGAAAAATGAACCAAACGGGTTAAAAATGATCAAGCAGTACATTTCTAGTGACACTCTGTGCTGTCACGATTCTAGAAATTTATAGGGGAGCTCACAAGCCGTCAAGGAGGGGGATGAAGCACAAAAATTCAAGAGGCTGATTTCTATGATGTTAAAACTGGCAAAGAAATGAAATTTTGGGGTAGAAGCAAAAGAACTGTTTCCGGGACTAGATTTACGCCACGGCAACCAATGAAAGACAGCTATTCAAGGTCATTTGCTTAAATGATGGATGACCTGTGAGCAGCTGCTAATAACAGACCAGGATGCATAGAGACATGACAGGGGGAAAAGGGACCATGAAAATTTCGCAGCACTTTTTGTCAACTTCAGTCAACACAAAGAGCAAAATGAGCGTAGCCATGAGGACTTGCGCCATTTCCTCTTGGTGCAGATGATGATGATGATGGAGAGCTTCAATTGCCATGGCACCAGCGGTTGTAAAGACATAGAAGCCCTCAGAATGGCGAATGGAGCATGAATGGCGCGTAGACGCAGAGCCGCGCGCGAGCATCGTGCGCATTTGTGCGTGAGCGCGTCGAAACAAAAGCGCGACACGCGAAATCGCGCATTAGCCCGTTTGACCAAATCATATAATTGGGAATGGGTGATCATTGGTAAGGGAGGGAGAGGATGGAGGGAGGGGGGATAAGATGTTGAAAGTCCCAGTAAATCAACCACTAGGATTACTCTGGAATTTTCGAAGTATTCTAGACCTTTCAACCTATGGTGGGTCATTTGGTAATCTATTGTGTGCAAATGCACACACCATTCACTTGCGTCGAGAGTTCTGGATGCGTTGACCACATAAGCACATTTTTTAGGGTCAATATTTCCTATTTCAACGTCTTTTTTTTCTGACTTTTTGATCCCCTGGATAGGAAATTTGGAGCGGACGTTTTGCTCTACAGTATCTAAAGCACTTCGCTTAACTTGTCTTAACGCGCCCCGTGACACATCTTTTTCTTCCTTCGGGCACATCTTTCCCCCTACCTGCAAGGTGTTTTAATGAATGCGGTCCTGTATGGAATTCCCTGACAGTATTACGGTCGTGCGAGTAGACCCACATCCGGGAAAATACTGTACTCGGGAACTTGTCAAAAATGTATGCACAACAGCCAACAGGATTAGGATTGTTACGCGTATTAAGGGTGATGTGCGCAATTGCACGAACAACTAGATTACGAAATAATGCGGCTATACTCAGTGAAGGTTCTAATTGTCAAAACCGTAAATTTCAATTTCATACCTTTTACTTTCTTCATACAAATCAGACCTCGACCCACAGCCCCCCCTCACCTTCCAACGACTACTCGTGATAGTTTCTGCTCCCCTCGTCCCACCCCCCCCCCCCCTCCGTTTGAGCCATGCATAAACATCGGCGTACAGCATGGCTACATTTGCACCTGTCGTATGGAAACAATAGCCGACAACATCGCGACGCAATCGAGCGGATTTCATTCGAGCGCGTATAATTCCTCCTCTTCAGGGACGACCATATGTTGAATCAATCACTGGTATGGAGTTGAGATGAAATTTCGCAATCTTGGAACAGCGGGTTCAGATTCAAAAATGCGGCCAGGGAAGAACACAACAGTGGGATGTGTTGTTTGGATAATAGCATAGAAGCACCACAAATAATTCAGTCTATTACAAGAAAATTTTGATTGGTAATTTTTTTTATTGGTTACGTTTCTCTCCCCTCCCCTCCTTAAGGTTCATTCTAGCCTTTATTAGGAACTTTCCATAAATTTGACGTAACGCTGAGTTCTTCCTTGGATCTGAAGTTGAAGCTGCTCCAAAAAAAGGATCCGTGACAACAGTCTACATTTTCCCGGTCCCTTTCTCTATCACCCCCGACCATAGGCTCACTTTCATAAAGCGCAGTTTCCGCATAAAATGTAATTTGTGGGGTTTTCAGGTCTTAGAGTAAGCCTCCAAAACAAGCCACAGTTCAAGGTGCGCCATCAGACGAAAGCAAGAACATAACATTGTCTGTTGTTCATTCATGGCTGGACACATGCAGACTTTTGCCCATTAGAGTACTCTCCATAGGCGGACCAATCCGCGTTCTCGGGTACTGGGCGAAAATATGGAATTGTGTAACTCGGCCATGAGTGAACCATATGGGTCGTTGTTTGAGGAAGTTCAAGCAACGGCTTAGCTAAGTTCATTTATCCACATATGAGAAGATTGCCATGTAGTCGGATTTCCCTAAGCACTGGCCTATAAGGGGCTTTAGAGTAAGATTAGGAATTTATAATTCCATTTTGCCTGAGCATTGTCTTTGAGAAAACTTCCATGTAATTGAAAATATGCATTTTCGTCATTCACAAGTTATCTCAAAGTCAACACTTCAACATAAGAAAATGTACTGCTGTGTAAACCTTTTCACTATTGTTTCCATGACTAAGGGATGACGACTTCTGAATGTAGTGTTTCATCCGAGCCAGGCTCTCAACTACGAATTGACCAGTTCGCCTAGCAACATCAGGAACCGAATAATCGAGCGCGAGTTGTATAGTTTGAGAGCAGAGTGTCGAACACTTCATCATAAGCACACTACGCCGTACAAGTGATCATCGTCCGACTCGTCCAAAGCGCAAGCACTGGTCACTAAGTGATTTATGCTCTTGAATTAATTCCATTGTCATCTGGCGTTCGAAATCAATGAATACATAGATGGGGGACCAAATTAGAATTAGCACCACAAATTCTGAGATTTTTACCCAATTTCTCCAGGATGGGGGAGGGGGCTTGCGCGTGGAAGATGAGTCCGGACTGTTGCATGCATGGCATATCGATGGAATTAACATCGACAACGATGTCATCCATCATCTGAAGGCGTCATATGCATTCGATGAGCATGACGAATCACTCGTCATCGATAACTCGCTGTCAGATTCACTGACAATGACAGGGGAATGTGAAATGGAAGCAAAATGTGCGTGGTTGATTCTCGTTTGGATTTTAATTGGAAATGGAACATCTGGAATTAATAAATGGATTTGCTTTTTGGGAAAATTCTCTGCTTTCTCCGTTCATACTGCCATTTCAAAATTCTGGTGCTGTCTGGAGAATAGAGCCAAGTTTTGGGCGCATTGGAAGGGGTGAGGAGGAAAGGAACAGGCTTCAAAAAATTGTAATTGCTACATTTGCGTTTCTTTGATGATTATTTATCTCCTAAGATTGTCAGCAATTTTTCCATTTCTTTGGATTTTTTTTGTTGGATACAAACTCAAAAAAGAAATTTTTCGAACTGTCCTTTGCCGTCTTGTCGAGAATAGCAGACTTTCAGCTTCAAAAAATTTCTATTCAGTTAAAGAATTTTTGTCAATCATGCAATAGAATTGTTCAACATAAATTATAGTTCGCAGCATATTCTTAATACAGCTTCGTATTCCTCTGAACAACTCTAGAAATTTCTATAAATTTTCAAATGTGGCTCATATGAGGAAAGAACAAACTTTCATCCATTGGTACTATTTTTGAGATTAGCACTAGAGTCATAGTTATTAGGAGAACAAATTTTTAATGATACTTGACTTCGCTTTTTTCAATATTACACATATTCTCTCAAATTTCTTTCTTATGTTTTTAGATTTTTTGGATTTTGACAGTAAATATTAGGTTGTCCGGAAATTAATGCCCGTTTTGAATTCCAACCGCAATAAGTCATACACTTCTCACTTGTAAATAGGTTGCAAAGTACAATTCGATAGAGCAAAGCAAGCTCTACAAGAACCATCTTGCTTTTGCAACAGCACTCATCCACCTCGAGTTTCGAGCCAAAAACTAAAAACACTCGGCAGCCCGAAAAATCGAAAAAAATTGTAACTCAGTTTATAAAAATCCTACAAAAATTCTTACTTGCGCACGTAAACACTATCCACATAAAACATCTATATACGCCTCTGCCGTATTATTGCCTTTGTTAGAAACCAAGAAAATGGAAATTTTCGTGCATTTGCCAAAGTGATGCTGTGCCGTCCCCACATAGGTAGTTGTATATCACAAGCCTTTAGAAGTTCAGACTTAAATTTTCAGCTCTCTACAAGCTCTAGTTCTCGAAAAAATTTGAATCTTAGCTTGGACCACCTAACTGGAAAGCTATATTCGGTATTTCTCGAGAACTAAGGCTTGTAGAGAGCTGAAAATTTAAGTCTGTACTTCTACAGGCTTGTGGTACACAACTACCTATGTGGGGACGGCACAGCTTCACTTTGGCAAATGCACGAAAGTTCCCATTTTCTTGGTTTCTAACAGAGGAAAAAATACGGCAAATGCGTATATAGATGTTTTATGTGGATAGTGCTTACGTGAGCAAGTAAGAATTTTTGTAGGATTTTTATGAACTGAGTTACGATTTTTTTCGCTACTAAATCTTTTTAGTTTTTGGTTCGAAACTCGAGGTATAAGCTCCTGCAAGACGAAGGCGGTTGGTTCGATGTGCAACGCGGCTGCGACACTGCTGCGTCACAGCTGCGTCACAGCCGCGTCACAGCCACGTCGCACATCGAACCGACCGCCTTCGTCTTGCAGGAGCTTATAGATGAGAGCTGTTGCAAAAGCAAGATGGCCTTCTTGTGGCCTTCTTGCTTTGCTCTATCGAATAGTACTTTGCAACCTATTTAAAAATGAGAAATGTGTGACTTACTGCGGTTGAAATTCAAAACGGACATGATTTCCGGACAACCTAATATAAAGGCAGTCGGAAGTTTGAGCTTACTAATAAAGCAAGTTCGAATTTCGCCAAAGTACAGAAAAAATTTGAAAACTTCAAAAAAAAGAGAATCTTTTAGTGTAAAATGTACGTAACAGCTGCAACTCTCAACTCGTTGTTGGAAAAAATGGAATTTTTTCGAGAAAGTTTCAAGAATTTTTCCCTGCAAGTTTAACAAAATTATGATACGATTTGGTAAGCACCAGAAAGCTTGAAAAAATTGTGCTCTGGAAGGAAAACTCTCTGGTTGGGAAAAGGTTTACCCTATCTGCTGGTTATTGAAGCTCACCAAAAGTCTTATACTAAAATTCTGAATATTAGCGGAAGTTGGACATGGTGAAAATGAGGGATTGTAATTTCCAGCGACAATCTCAACGCTGGTCAAAAATTTCGCATCGAAAATATAGTTGCAGAAAACAGGAAGAAATTCTGCATCTGATGCTGCTCAAAGCATTTGTTTACCTTTAATGTGAGAAATTTACTGGTCATTTCAAAATACAGACAAAACTTTCGGACCGATCTAATATTAATCTGTTATTATTTACAGTTGTTACCTTCAGGTACTTGATGCTATAAGAATTTTGGGGCATTTTGTTTAACGATCTCACTCTGATATAGATCTCTCTGCATGAATATTTAAAATTTGCGAGCATTTGCGAGGCACGAAAAAGCTAGCAGCGTAAGACTTCATTTTCACTCTTTTATACACAATTAGAAACGGGAAATTGAATTTAGAAACAAGTCGTGCCAAAAGAAAGATGAATATGAAGATGACTTTACGTATCATTTATACTCTAGTATGATAGCACTCGTTTGTGTTATAAAATACTATCAGATTGATCCATAAGTCTTACATCAAAATGAAAAACTCGAAAATCTTTATTATACATATACATTTCCGATCTGCACGAGTGTTAGAAAGAATAGGTCACAAAACCACAACCAAAACTAAAATTTATCTATGGAGCCCTTTGACATTTTCAGCATCCAAAATTTGATTTTTCTTTGTCATCTTGTATCTTCCCAATATCAAAGTATTGATTTCTTCTTCAAAACTCTTAAGCCTTGGCTATACCTGGCGCCATTTCAGTCGCCACGTAATTTGGCAATCTGCCAAATCTCTTAGTATTCATTATGATTACGGTTTGAAAGCAAGTGTATGTAAAACTCTTGCAAGCTGGTAAAATGCCCTTCATTGTATGATTTTAAAATGTGATTAAGAAGGGATTTAAATTTCTGGAACATTGCCAAATCGCAACTGATCGCGTGAGGTAAGGCCAAGGCCTTTGAAAGTGCACGATTTTTCTTTTTAAGCTGTAGTAAGTCAAACGAATTTGTTGAATTTCGAGATAACGAATTTTCAAAGAATTTGGTGACAGCCTAATCTTATAATTTATGATCCCATCAAACGTGGGACCATGTAATTGGCTGGTCATGGAGAAGGTGAGATGTCATCTCTGGCACCAATCATCTTGACAGCCAATTATTATGACAGCCTATATAACCCATTTCCGTTTCGGATCACCCGAACAGGAGGTGAATGGAAATTCTCTGCCCTGCTTACCACCAATCATATCAATAAATTTGCATGCTAAACGTCTTAGCTGATTGCAAAACACTAAAGAAATCTACATACGCAATGACCATAACGACGAACGTTAAGGTCAAGTACTATTAGCTGATGATGTGCTCCGTCAAAACATCGTCAGACATATGGGTTAAGAAGCCTGGTCTTATCTCATTAATTAAGGACAACAGGAACAGATTTAGGAAGGATGGGGAAGAGGGAGAGAATTGAGGGAATGTAAGAAAATTTTGGAGTTTTTCTTGCGATAAGAATTCCACAATTTTGTGATCAGATTAGAATGAGGACTTACCATTTTTCTCCCATCGCCTCCTCATCGCTATCTGCATCGTCAGTCATCTCCAGTTCGTATACGTCCACCTCATCAAGATCTCTCATTGTTAATCTAGAAATGAAATAAAGCATAAAGTCAATATGAAGGACGTGAAAAAGAAGTTCAATTGCACAACGAATAAGAGGACTTGCAAGATTCTTGAAAAGAAACATCCAAAAACAGGCATGTTGTAAATCTTCCCGCCTAAGAAAAAACTGGTACAAGTGAAAATGATATGAAAGGCGTTTATGTGGTAATTCAATTATTCCCTGTGCCGAGTTTGTGGTGTTCTTTTTATGGCGCCGGATTTGCTAAATCTGTACATCGTAAGGAATGAGAAGGGGTTGTTAAGTTTGACAAATTTGTGTTGAGTGGAGGCAATGCCTACTTACGGAATGGAAAAATCACTACTTTCGATTTCAACCAAGAAAAATGCAATTTAACTTTAGAAACAAACCAAAGCAAGCAATTTCTAATCCTGTTCCACCATATACTGAAAAATCTACTTTATTAGCCTCCATAAATTCGTTCAAAATTAATTGCCGCGCCCTTTTTTGGAGAAATAGTCTCTATTGTAGCGGAGACTTTGGGCAAATCCTCTGTACTTTTGACAAGACTTCGGCTAGAGAAAACCGCAACATAATTTGCACTGAATTTTCTTGTAGATATATTTACATAAAGATTAATGAGGTTGTCCTTATATCAGTTGACGAACAGAAAAAATTGCTGCATAGAAAAAGCAAGGCTCACGGTACGCATACACCTGCTTTTGATTCCAAAATGATTTATATGATAGGGAGCTATCGCTCGTTTAAATTCGTTTACATTAATATGAAAGTCTCAGCACCACTGGTGCACCTAACGAGGAAAAGTTGCAAAAAACTTAAGACTCTTTCGGCAAATCTACATGCTCTACATTGTAACGAAAAGCACTTTGTCTTCTTGATGAGTAAATATAAAGATGAGAAAAAGGAACAGCGAGATAGCAGATGAAATATAGAAGCCATGGAAAAATGCATGAAGTACAGTACAAGCCATCAACAACCAACAATTTCTTTGAACATACTTACTATGCACTCTGTTATCTACAGTCAACACTGCTAGAAATGTGCTACCGACAAACTGTCTTTGATTCTAAGTGAGGAAGAATGCCTACGGTGCGAGAAGCCTTTCTCATGCAATATTTTGTTGTTCAAAAGAAAGTAGTCATCAGGTCACTCGTGCTTCCATTACTCACGTTCGACTGGAGAAAGTACTATTCCGATGGCGATGGGGAAGAACTATAACAACATCGTAATGTCATGAGAACAATCGCCAGTGTCCGATTATGCAAGAGGAGGAATTCATTTTCACGCCATATCTAGACAAGAATTTGTGAAAAGCTTTTTCTTGCGTTTGTCTAGAAGAACAGCTGAGTCAGAGTTTGGTATTAGGTGACTCTTTGAGTTTTGGGAACGAAGAATTACGAGTTTGAAAAAATCTCTAGGGCATTTGAAAATCGTGACGGTAGCGCGACCACTTCCGAAAACTTCATTTTCTTGGTTTTTACCTCTAGTCGAATGGGTTTTTGCTTATGTATGATAGTATTTAGACCCTGGAAGTGATTGAGCTGAGCGCTGAGGTGATGTCTCTTGAATGAACGTTTTATGCTTCTATGGGCACAAAACAACCTGCAGCATATGTGTAGAGAGAGAGAGAGAGAGAGAGAGAGAGAGAGAAAAAATGAGAATAAATTAGTAGAAAGCGAGAAATCCTTTTTTCCTTTTAAGCTTACAAGTCCAAAAAGATTTGGGCTATCAACACTTATTTATCGGTTGCGCAAGTAATCATGGTATTCACTATATTAGGAAAGTGTGCAGCTGCACATAGTGAGAAATAGATGACTTGACTATGATCGCTAATCTTTGAATAGTATCACCAAAAAAGCCGCAAACGAAAAATAGCTCAGCGTTCGTGGTATATTTAGATAAACAGGGAGTCTTCGCTTACGTGAGCAATCACTTGAGTCTTAAACCTTCGAATGTTATTTCAGATGCCTAAAACCATTGGCAACACACAGACAATTCATCGGAACTTCCGCAAGACAAGCAAGATCTAAAGTGGTTCCGCTGAGTTTTGTTTACTATTAAAAAACTTTGAAAAAGGGAACTTCTGAAGGACTTTTTACAAAGCGCTGCGGAAATTCCGAAAAATGCTACGGTTCCACAGCACTTTGGCCTGCCAGTACTTCCGAAAGATACTTAGGTATTCTCTTTTGCTGTTGGTTCGCACTCTTCCGAAGAATGCGAACCATCAGCAAACCTTGAATCCTTTACTTCCACAATGTTCTGCGGAAGTTCCGGTCATCTGAGGAGGTGAAGTCGAAAGAAGAAGAATAATTTTTAATGATGGCTGACAGCAGAATGAGCCCAGATGCATATAAGGAATGATCCAGATGACTAGAATCATCAACACTAAGGTAAAGGGAGCAATTTAAGACCACCGCTGATCCTTCTCACCATCAGAAGAAATGGAACACGCCTGCAGCTTTTCAACGCTATTATACCGGTGATACACTAGTAGGTAAGTGCACTTCGCTTTAGGACACTTGAGTTCCAAGCCCGAATCGAGTACGTAAATGGGAGATGTTTGGAGAGCATGAATGCAATCCAAAGTGAATGACTTTTTTGGCCTCTGACGACGGCGCCAAAACGTACGGCAATAAAGTATCACAATAACTTGTACGGCAAAGCAAACTGTTGTAGTTATTTGCAGAAAAAGGGTTTTGCTGTCTGTCTGTTAAAGGCTGCTGAAGTTGGACGTTTGCAGAACAGAAAACTGTCTTAAATGATCTAATATTACATTTGTTAATGCATCGTAAGAACCGATGTTCTAATTTCACAAGGGAATGTCAAGGAAAATGGAAATACATTATGAATTAAAAGAAAAAAGGGCTCTAGACGAATGATTGTCAGTTGCATTGTAGACTTTTAGACTCCTGTAGCCAAATGCAAATTTATTTCAAAATAATACTTCACTACCTACTGGATAATGTATAAAACTTTCCTAGAAAATTGCAGCATATTGAGAACCAGTAAAAAGCAGTGGCAATCCGAGAAATTTTCAAAGCGGGGGAAGGGGGGGGGGAGTACAACAAAACGCCCTTTTGGAAGTATTTTTTTGGGATGCTCTCATTTTTTTGGCTATACCACTAAATTCTTGGAAAAAGGCGCGTGGCAGTGACTTCAGAAACTTATTTCAGGACTAAATATGATTTCTGGAAATGTTCAGAATAATTCTATTTATTTACAAGTGAAACGAGTTACATTTTATGACTCATGTCTAAATCATTCTCTGACTAAGAGACACGATCACGCTTTGCGTACGATTAACAAGTTTATGAGTGCTTTTCAACGCGTTTTGGTAACTTACTATTAGGATTTCATGTTCGAACTCGCGTTGTTTAACAAGCTCGAACATGTCCTTACACGAAAACGTTTAACAATAAATCATCCAAAACGCGTTAGAAAGCACTCAAGAACTTGTTAATCAGACCGTACGCAAAGCGTGCTCATGTCTCGTATGGTAAGTCAGAGAATGCATGATAGGCTTTCAGCTATTGTCAATGCAAGTTATTTGGTGCAATTGCACACCTTTGCGAATTTTCATATGCACATAAATTTAGAAAGTAATAAACACTTATTATGTGCTATTTGGTATCCATTTGGCAATAAAAATCGCGCCTCTTGACATACACCCCACAACGCTCCCTATTTAGCGGCTAAGTGTTGTGGATGTATGTTTCACATCCTTTTCTCGTAAAACATTAACGTTCTCGTAAAACGCCATGCACATTTTCTCGATAGAGTTACCGTCATTCCTCCCTTTAAATTACAGATGCAGAGTGAGAAGTAAGTTTATCACATAAAATTGCTTAGTAATCGCCGATCCATTGCATTTATTCAAGTAATTATGATACAATGAAACCTTCTTAAGACAATGCGAATATATTACCATTACTGGGTATCCCAAAAACATGTAAGCACTTTTTGATTGTTATTATCTGACTCCCTACAAGATCTTTTGCTTTCGGATAGATACCACTCGGTAGAGTTTCAACTAAGATAGTACTGAGCGAGCTTACTGTAGGGTTACGGTAGGAACACCGAAGTGGGTTTACCATCAATGGCTACATTTTGCCCCGGAATGTATAATCAAGAAGCTGATCATCATTAGGCTAATTTGTCGCCGATTAGGCCGTTCAAGAAGAAAATTTCCGAATTTCTAGAAAGTTGAGTAGCGTGTTTTTAGACAATCGCGTTTTATGTTGAGTCGTTTTTCTTAACTTCTGCCAAAAAAAGCAACAATTTCGGTATTTTTACTCGTAGAAAGTTATCTAAGGAAATCAGCATGTCTAAAAACAATGCTGCACAATTTTTTAGATTTTCCGAAACTTTTTAAACGGCCTGTTTTACAATGGCGCTGTACGCTGAAACTTCCTACAGTAATTTCACACTAATCAAGATTGATCGATGGTTATTACACTGTAAACCTAAGTTGAAGTTGGTTTTACAGAATGGTAGCTGAAGCTAAGAGAAAATCTTTGTGAAGAGAGTTAACGATTAAAAAGTTTGTATTTTGAGACATCCTGTATATCTAGAAAAATAATAAAGAAATAAGTCAAATATAACTGGTGCTCTTTGAAGAGGGATGTCGAAAAGTTGTGCGTTTGCACCAAGTGACAAGTGAATCAGCAGCTACACACTGAGCGGATGTCACTTACAACTGATAAAAATGAAAGTTGTAAAATGGAGATATAAATTAGATGCCCCATTACTTTTTGGTGACCCTGGTAATTCCAGCCAGAACGCATAGTAAAGCTTAAATCTCTGGAGATCGCCCCTACAAGGATCCTTTCCAATATGGTGCGATGAGCTAATCGCGTTCACAGATCCAATGCTATTATACGGACGCTTAGACCGCGCTGATTGAGCGGGTGATGAATTTAACGCGCGAACGTGCCGCCGCGCGTAAATGATCGCTGCGCGAGAATGCTATCGAACCCGTTGACATAAAAATGAACTGC